GAGCCGGGCTTGGATCTTATATTTTTTTTTTTAATAATGCTTCTTTCATAACATCAACAATTCATTAATTATTATTTGCCCGCTCATTTGGCTATATTCTCTTTTCTGTTGCTCTCTTTCGTTTAACATTGATCACGTTTCGCCCTGTTTTTCACTCCCCCTGTCTGCAATCAACTCCTTCATTCCACTCAGGCTGGGCACAGAGTAAGTTTACTCCTCGTGGCTGTGGCTAACACCGGTGGTAAGGGCTCGTTAGTGTCACTGCGTTAATGAACGGCAGGGGGTACGTGTGATTTGGGGGCTGCTGTTCAAGCCGCGCTTGCGATCGCGCCCAAATTCCTGGTCAAATCCAGACGTTGTAACGTTCTTCGCCACCATTTTATGTTGCAGATGCCTGTGATTATTAAGCACGCTCCAGTGCTTTTAATTCCTTTGGTTATTGTAGCTTGCCAAGCTTTTCCTTGATTAATGGGAGCTCAGGCGTGGTTTGGGGGAAAATACTGGGCCCGCCAGTTGGCCAGCAAAGGGAGTGATCTTTGGTTTAATAACGATGTTTAAGTGTGTTTTAATCAACACACACACTCTGCAGACCTGTGGGGCTGTGTGTGTTGAGTGGTAATTTTATGAAATACATAACTGGTACTGCATGTCTCAGTCCCTTAAGTGTCAGTAAGAGAACCTACTGCCGTTTTAATAATCAAAAGAACATATTATCTATTTTCTACTTGCATTTTAATAATCAAAATCACTTATTATCTTTTCTTATTTCCATTTTAATAATCAAAATCACTTATTATCTATTTTTTACTTGCATTCAAGTGTATCTTCTCTAGGCTGATGCTAGTGAGGGTATTTTTCACTGGGAACTCGAAAGACTGTAAAAAAAATGTCTGTTACATTTTCCTCTCCTGGGTTAGTTTTAAATTGGTAGCTCGTTAAAAAACTCTTCAACCATCTGTTCTCCAAAGATGCATGGCTTCCATGGTGGCACTGAGACATTCTTAATCTAAAAAACCCCAAAAACGAGCCCAGACAAAAATCTAACCAAGTTCCTTCTGCCTTTTTTGATGACTGTTAGCATGAAGAGAGCTGCATGGCCTAAGAAATTAAAAAGCAAGTAGTAAAAAGAGATAATTTCATGGAATAGTTACTACTGCTAGCTGGGCTGTGTCTTTACAAACACATTTGATAGCTGCCATTTTAGGAACTGTCTTGCTAGCAACGCATTATGGTTAGAAGCTAAACTGTCTCTTTTTAATGCGGAGCTATTTGTCAAGTTAACAGGGATGACTGTCTCTGGATCCAGTGTTTTTACAGTTTAGTGGCATAACATCCCATGCTTTATGGAGATTTCCATGCCCTTTTTGCATAATTAATTTATTGCTATGTTGCTTGCATTAATTATTTCTTTCTTCACAGATTTAAAGCCTGTGTTATTAAACTAGGGTCTGTCTTCATCTGAATCCTTGATTTTGAAGCCCCAAATTCCATTTGTATTCTCCTTGCATCTATTGAACTGAAACTATGAATGTATAGAACTGGTAGTAGAACCCCTGTGCGCAGTAGTCTGGCTTATTTTTTTCTGTTTTTTTTTTTTTTGTTTGTTTGTTTGTGTTTTTTTTTTTTAAACTGTTAGGTGTATTCTGTTGTTCAGTGGTTCCTACAGTGTGGACACTGAACAAGATTCCTACTCTGGTCAGCTATTAACACTTGTTGCAAACTTGCTGCCTTTTTTTTTTTTTTGATAAGGAAGAAAACAGAAGTTAATTAAAGTAGAAAGAAACTTGGATGAAGAGTTTTAAAGAGAAGTGGCCATAGTTTAGCCAGGTCTGTGAGAATATGTACTAGAGATGTCCTGTGTTTTTTTTTTTTTATGTTTAAGGAGGAAAAAAAAAAAAAGTGGGATAGTTTATGGTAGTTTCCAAATTTGTGTAAAATACATCAAAAGTAGTAACACATTTCTTTTGTTCCACCTTGCAATGGCTTTCAGCAACGAAATAAACCAAAAACCTGTAGACTGTTGTGTTTGTAAGGGCCCTTGTTTTCCCTCAAAATAGCAATATTCCATCACCATTTCATTCTTATTTTAGTCACTTTTATATCAAAATGCAAAGTTCTGAAGAAAACATTGCAATGCTTTCTGTTTCCTAACGATTCTCGTCTCAACAAGTATCTGTAACGATCTTTCTTCCCTGTTGCTACACCTGGTAAGTTGGTGTTAGTACTAGGAGATCTTCACATTCCACATCGATGCAACAGCCTCCCGGCCAAATTCAAAAAACTGCTGGTTCCAGGAAAGATCCAACACATCCTCTGCACAGGAAACCTCTGCACCAAGGACACTTACGACTACCTCAAGACTCTGGCTGGGGATGTTCATGTTGTCAGAGGGGACTTTGATGAGGTAGTGTCCTCTCTTGCCAATGACCTTTTTTGTGCATCTTTCACATAAAGGCAACGCTTGGGTCATTTGTAATTCAAGTGGAAGTGGGCAGACTGAGGTTTTGTAGTACTAAGAGCACGTGAAAAGAAAACTGGGCAAAAGAGTTTGGGTGAACAATCAGTAGTGTGAACTGCACAATAAGGTCTCATCCGTCATCAGTATGAATAAAAGTAATTTGTGTCCTTGGCTATGTCTAGGACTCTAGTGAACAGGACCTGCTGTCACCAGATCTTTGCAGTTCCTTGCATCCTGCCACATTCTCCCCAGTGTTCATAAAAGCAGCTTCGTAGCAGTAGGGCCAATTACAATGAATATTTCCATAAGCTTTCCCCCCTCTCTTCTTGGCGTTGCGTAGAGTCGTTTTTAAATATAAATCTGTACATCTAATCTGGGTTTGGCTTTTTTATTTTTAGAACCTGAATTATCCCGAACAGAAAGTTGTAACTGTTGGACAGTTCAAAATTGGGCTGATTCATGGCCATCAGGTTATTCCTTGGGGTGACATGGCCAGCCTGGCGCTGCTACAGAGGCAATTTGATGTGGACATCCTAATTTCAGGACATACACACAAATTTGAGGCATTCGAACATGAAAACAAGTTCTACATCAATCCAGGATCAGCTACAGGAGCCTATCACGCCTTAGAGAAGTAAGTGGAGCATGGGAAATGTCTGTGGGGATTTTCTTTTTCATAACAAAACTGAACTACAGAACTTACTTACATTCTGAATGTCGAGGAGAAGAGGGGGTGGTAGGACTTGCTAAATCTCCTTGACTGACACAGACGAGAGTGGAATACTTAAAGCTTCAGATCTGATGTACTGTGCTTACAAAATTCCTATCCATTTTTCTTAGAGTGATTTCTGTTAAGTAGTGGTGAAAACACACAATTAATACGATTTTTTTTTTCCCCTCTTTCCAGCAACATCATTCCTTCATTTGTGCTGATGGACATCCAGGCTTCTACAGTAGTCACATATGTCTATCAGCTAATTGGAGATGATGTGAAAGTAGAAAGAATTGAGTACAAAAAGTCTTAAAAATGTTTTGGCTTGCCTGGTATTTTTACCATCTCATTCTGAACTGCAAGTTACTACAGTACTTGATCGCTAGTTTACAGTACTACACTGAACTTGCTAACAGCTTAACAACGTAGCTCATTGGTAATAACTTCAAAACAACATTGTGTTTGCTTTTCTCTGTATGAATGGATTTGTAAAATATTCCATTAAAATAACTGTTTAAATATACTGTTCCTTAATGTTGTAATAAACTCCACTTCATAGAAAAACTAAGCTTTATGAACTGTCGTTGGAAAAATGCAAGGGTTGTAGTTGCTTTTAAAACACTTGATGCTCTGGGTTGGTGAGGAACTTGTAAAGGAGATGTGTAACATGGCCCTGGAGCCCTCAATCTTTTTGTTCAAGCCCTTTACATTTGCTTCAGAATGCAGTTGATGCTTGATTTTCTCGATTTAACATTCCCAGTTGTTAAGAGAATAAAATTGATTGATAGGTTCTGAAAATATTACAATAAATTAATAACTCGGAGTAGTAATTTCCCTGTAGAAAGTTTAACTTCGGTCTTTTTATAATCGAAGCAGTTTCAAATACTGCTGTGCTTTAATGAATGATGGTCATTAGATCTATAAACAGTGAAGAGAGGCTTTATGGCTTATATCTGACACCACGTGTATACGCACCTTGCTCCATATTCAGAGGTTTTAAATAATCTAATTCCATATGACATTCCTACTACTACTGAGGACTAAAACATTGGTTGTTCAAGAAGACTGGACCTTTTTGCTCTCAGCAGCAGGGAACTGAAATGTTAAGCAGCTCCCATTTCTTATGACTGCTAACTTCCCCATAAAAATTGAGTTTTATCTCTGTCTTCTACAGAAGAACGTTTGGAATGGTTTCCTTTGCAGATGTTGGCCTTTGTGTTATGCCTCTGCAGTTCACGAGCTGTGCAAAAACCTGTGCAGTATTTGTCATGAATGTTTGAGTTAGACTAATGGTTTTCCATAGAATTTAAGTGATTAGCTAGAACCCTAACTTCTGTGTCATAAGCTGACTAACTTACTTACTTCTATTCAAAATAAACCTGCTTTACCTTAGAGAAAGACCAAGCATTTCAGCCTGGTGTCTCGGGAACCTTTGGATAACTGCTAGTTCGTGCAGTGAGACAGATGCCTATTGCTTTATCCTGCTGCAGACATATGGAAAGAACAAAGTTGAAAAGAAAACTTTAGCAAACATCATTCAAGGAAGGTTAGTGACTGAGTGGAACATCAATTTACTGACAACTTCATAATTAAAAAAGATTTATAGAATACTGTAAGGCCAAAATTGATATATAAGTCTGTTTATTTGTGCTCACTGAAGTTAAAATTACAATTTGTCTACAAAGCGTAGTTTACATGAAGTACACCACTTACAGCTTTAAAAAAAGTTTATCACAATTATGCAAGGTTATGTTTGTGTGAACAAAATCTTAGTGATCCTCAGCAGACTTAAACATGGAGAAGTACAGAAAAAAACTAATCCTTCGTAAAAATTAAAGTGCTGAATATGAACATTACTGTCAAATAGAAACAGGAACCTGCTGTGGATCTAAGCTGTTCCAATGGAGATAGAGCATGGAGAAGAAACAGCCTACAACAGTTAAAAAATACATGGAAAGCTCAGTATAGCTTTTGATAAGAGCACTGAGGTTTTAGTTCAATGTTCACCTGACCAGTTCGAGCATTCTCAGTGCGTGGTGCTCGTCTTACCAGTAGAGGGAGAAAAGAAAAGGGAAAATCAAGATCTTATCGATGACAGTTCTGTACACAGGTCTCGTCTGGTCCAGTCAGATACATCTGGAAGGTAAAAGAACAATATTAATAGATTATATCCTGTTTTCCTAAGCCCTAAGACCTGTGAAAATACTCAAAAGCATAAGCCTCAGCATGGCACAAATTTTGATTCAATTAAAATTAATTATTTGAATTAGGGGATATTTTATTATGTACAATATATTTTACTAAAATCAGCTAACAAGCATTTTTGCTAAAAGTTGAATGAAAGTCTTAGTTTAGAAAAAAAGGAGAAAATACTGCATGAGGTACAAAAGTGATTTGTTTTACCTTCAGAAGATCAGATGATGGTATGTCTACCAGAGTAGGATTTCCACATTTCTCATGATATTCTTGAATTAGGGCTGTTGCATCATCAATGCTGTAGGAGGCAAAAGTTTGTCAACTTCTCAGCTCTCTAAAAAGCCAAGATTTTAGACTACATAGACTGAAGTACGAAAAATAAGGTATGACCCTGAGTTTTGGTCAGAAAGACCGCAATCATGTCCCAGTAGAGGTAAGCAAGCCATGATGAGACTAGCATTTAACCTGGGGCTGTTAATAAAACCAATATATACTGGAATTTTAGCGGTTATTTACTGGTTCCTGTCCCATTGGGACTACAGGACAACTGGTAACAGTGACTCAGAAAACTGCCTCTATTTGGGGTCTGAAATGAAAGTTTGCAGCAGGCACAGACTTCAAATAAATTAAAATAAAATAAGGGAGAAATGAAATTTCTGTAATTGCTGTCAGAATGCATCACCTGTTTTACCTTTTATTAACTTACCAGTTCTTTTTGGCCAAATAATCTACCAGTTCTTTCATTCGGTGAGTATTCATCAGTTGTTGCTTCAACAGTGGAAAATACTTTGTTTTCAAGAATTTTTCATATAGCTTCTCATTTATGATACTGTCCAAAACCAAAGATCTAATCTGTAGATTTAAGTTTTAGTAATGGAAAAGTATTAATGTTAAGATATTTTACTTTTCAATGAAATGAGCTCAGACTTTTCTTATTGGACTCCCATAGAGCAGGATTCTCTTTTTTTTTATTTTTTTTTTATTTTTTTGTGCTGTGAAATGGCAGATTTTATGAAGACTAATCTGAGGTTCAGAGAGGGGAATCACAGAATCACAGAAACTTGCCCTTAGGAAGGCAGCCCAAGGCAAGGCAAGGCAGAGTCCAGTTTCATAAGCCCTTTGGCCTTTTTTCCTTCCAACATTTTAGAAAAATAAAGTAGTACTGCTGCAAACAATGTTGTCCTACAAATAGGGGCAGCCTATAACACAGCACTATGTATATAGATGAGAAGCTTTTCAGTTGCACAACGTTAATAAAAGCGCCAAAATCCCTGCAAATGTTACTATGTTTTAGAAGTGTGCATTATGTCAACTAATGCTTGGCAAGATCAGGAGAGAGGAGGGAAAAAAAGGTTCTGTGTACACTTATCTATTAAAAAAGCCTCAAGGTCAAAGACAAGTGAAGTAAATTTTATTTATTTACCTGAGAAGCAAAAGCCACTACTTCTCCAGTGGTCATGTGTTCATCTATTTGTTGCAGCACAGTTTCTGTGTTACATGTCGACAAGAAACCCTTGCAAAAATAAGTTACAAAACATTAAAATTATGTGAATAATTAAAGTAGAAACTCTCTTCAGAGCAAGTATTTTTCAGGAACAATTAATATTTTGAAATTCTAGACACAGACATGATATTATCAAACCAGGATCGGTGCAGTTTGACTGAAAGAGTAGTGCTCATTGCTTTTAACTCTCAAAGGGTATTTTGCTGCAGCTGGTAGGGATTTTTTTGACTAATTGCCAGCATACTAAACGTCTTACACTAATGGTGTAATCTGGGAAAATCTTTCTGAGCTTAGCTTTAATGACTGGAAGTCTAAGAATTTAAGATACCTTTACTAGTGCCAGTTTGCTCATGACAAATCTGGGAACAGCCTTTATCTGGGAGAACTACGCAGAGCATAAATTAATGAAAACAAATGAGAAAGGAAATTGCCAAGATACATGAAGAGTGAGGATATGGCTTTAAGGCAAAAGGTTAATATCAGAACTTGTGATGCATATCAAACATCTTTTTAAGTAGTCAGGAGCTTTCAACTCAACACTTTTCCAAAGTAGGATTCAGTACTTTTCTTACAATCCGCTGTGAAACCAGCCCACTGGTAGCTCCTCAGAAGTTATATGTGTTATCAACTTCACACTGCTCTAGCAGGTATACGGCTATGGCTTGGGTTTTGTTTGGCTTTTTTCATGGGTTTTATGGGTGGGATCCCACAAAATATCCTTAAATCCACAACAAGCAAAGTCATATGACAAAGCTGCGGAGGATGACTTGAAGTTTGCTGGTTTTCCTTTAAAAAAAACCCCAAACATAAAAATGAGGAAGGGCTCACATGATCCCCTTCAGAAGGACACCTTCAGGGCAATAGCCTTTGTGGGTGGGAAGATCTGAGTAGCTGTCAGCAATGACATATTTAAACAAACTGGAATTGTAAGTTACCATCTTTCAGTCTCTACTGAAAAGAACATGCTTAAAGACCCTGGCATAGATAAAACACTAAAATTATTTACCTGAATTTGCTGCTCGCGCTTCTCAGGCTGAGGAATCAGTAGCAGGCACCCCAGAGCAAAAGCTGAAAGGTCCAGCTGTGCATATTGTTTAGCTATTCCGATGACATCCAAGTCAGCCAGAACAGGACACCTTCAGCAGAAGATTAGGAGTGACGTTCTCAACCACGATACGTGTAACTGGATGGCTTAGTACTGGCAACAGAACCGCCCTGAGGTTTCTAAGCCAACACATTTTTACCTCATCTTATTTTTAGAAAGAGCCAAGCTATGTGAGTTAAGTTTCAGAAAATACAAATGCATGATGAGTTTCTAGCTTGAAAAAAAAAAACATTCCAACTCCAGTTTCTCTTTCTAGACACCGAAGGCCCTATTTTGAGGGGATGTGTTGGCCAACTGCCCAGAGTAATGCTTTGGTACATATGTATATGCACAGTAGTGTAGGCATGTTCTTCAGCTGGATCCCTTTCCAGTAATTCCTAACTGACTTCTGGGTCAAGTCAGGCTCTCTGAGCTCTGGCTCTTCTCTTGAAGAAGTCAGAGAATTGTGATAAATAAGATAATGATTTATGGTGCTTCTTTACATTGTAAAGGCAATGCAAAACTGGTTTATGTAGAGAATGTTTTGGAACATTAATATCATAGGTTAACCACGTTTACAGATCTGCAGCTATTAGATTTTTGTCATGTCAGATTTATTCTTTGTAGGAAAAGGAATTACTTCTCTCTTACACTCTGTGTTAATGTTCTAGGAAACGTGCTATATTTTGGGCAAGAAAAATACTAACTGGACTTTTAGGGTTGGCCATAAGTCCTTAAAACATCGGGACAGGAACAGCTATCCCTCATGGGGGCAGCGAC